GCCGTCCGGGACGCCCGCGTCGGCCAGAACCAGTGCTGAGCTTCGAGCAGTGGCGAAGCGTCCTGGCTCGCCCCCCATGGCCCTACCAAACAATGTTTAGGTCGGGCCCGTTCCCCATCCAGAGGGATTCTCGACGAAACACAAAACATACACCAAACATACACCAAACAGTTTTAAAACATACCCAGACTATGTTTTGACTATTTTTGGTGTTTTGTTTTTTTTTTTTTTTTTTTTTTTTTTTTTTTTTTTTTTTTTTTTTTTTTTTTTTTTTTTTTTTTTGTTTTTTTTTTTTGTGTTGGTTGGTTATTTGTTGTTTTTTTGTTGTTTTTTGGTAACGGTTGAGAGAAAAAGAAAACTAATGGGTAGAAATTAGTAAAGGATTTTAATTAAAAACAATCGTCGAACATCCCCGTGTAGGGGGACAGGCCCGACTTAAAACAATGTTCTAAGAACCTTTTGTGGTCTCCGCAAAATGCTCTTAGAACATTTCTGGCGGAGTCTGTCTTGTTTTATCATGTCGGGCTTATGCTCTACGAACATTGTTTTTGTTCTGAGGACATTTGTTTGGTTCTGAGAACATTTCGTGGTAGGACTATAGGAATGCCGGGACGGTCGGTCCCTGCTCAAGAGCTGGTTTCGGTGCTCTGACGATTGTTGGCATGCGCAAGGCCCCCCCCGAGGCATGGCTGCGGTCGCTTGCCGTCCCAGCATTTGCAACCTCTCCGAACCTGTGGACCTGTGCTCAGCGGCGAGCCTGGGGGGAAGTGACAAGGGGCGGGCCTTCTCGGAAGGCTCAGAAGTCTCCCGGCCTTCTGAGACTTCGAGCCTTCTTCCGGTGCAGCGATAGGGGGGGATAGGCATAGGGGGGATGCATCGACCCCCAATCGCCCATTGATCGCCGATAGGGGCCCGATAGCCTCAACCTGCCCAGGAAGGCGCGGACTCACTATCAGAGGCCCATCGCCGCTCCATCGGCGATTGTGCAGCCGACTCCAGGCCGATGCATCCCCCCCTGCGCCAGCCCCCCCCCTATCGCTGCCCCCCCACTTCTGAGAAGGCCTGCCCCTTCTCCTTCCCCCCCTTGGCTCGCCGCCGAGGTGCACTAAAACAGGGCTAGGATCGGGATAAATCGCTGCATAGCCGCCCAAGCGCTCTCAAGCGGTCCCGACGCTCTGGAAGCGGCCGCGGCCCCCGGAAAAAAAATACATGCCTCAAAAACCCCGATTCTCAGAGATTTCGAGTTGTCCCGATACATTTGGCCCCAACTTCGCGTTCGGTTTATGCACCTGCAGCCCCCCCCCCCCGACCCTCCGCGGCGCGCGGCCGCCGCGGCTGGGCCGCCCCCTCCCGCCCTCCCAGAGCATAGTAGCACCCGAGCCCGGCGCCGCGGGCCGCCCTCGGGCGGTAGCGGCCCCCCTCCTCCCTCCTCCCTCCTCCCTCCTCCCTCCTCCCTCCTCCCTCCTCCCTCCTCCCTCCTCCTGGATGGAACATCCTATGCCTGCGCACTGGCGACCCGACTCGGTCAGTTCATTCTATTGCCCGCCCCTACGGGCTGTTATGGCATCCCCAGCAGCGTCGGTGACCGACTTTGATCAGTGCGAGCACGGTCAGGTTGCACGTGCACCTACAAGAATACTTGCACTGCGCATGGGCACAATGCACGGACGCTTGTGCGAGACACCTGGGCGTGGACGTTGTTCTCACGGACGTGGGGCTCACGAGGTACTCATGGGGTTCGACAGGCGACGTGACGAGTGGCGTACGGCCAAGAAGAAAACCTACCCTCCGGCCCTATGTCAAGTTCTCGCAGACAGCATAATGGACGCAGTCAATCATATGCGCGTGACGTGTGCAGAGCATGATTGGCCAGAGGACATGAGGGAGGAGGAGGAGGAGCTCCGTGGGTCGCTTGCAGCTTTTTACGCTTCATGGGACCCGTACGTCGGTACGGACGAGTCCTGGGCCCCAGATTTTGTGTCGACGCGTGCCAGTCGGACTCGAGCGGATCCCGAGCGACATCGGTTCCTGCCACCTGAGCCGCAGTCGTCCTCTCAGCCCATGCCTGGAGTTGTTTTTGATCCCGAGGCTGAGGGCCGCCCCCCAGGGCCCATCGAGGCCTCGGACGAGCAGGAATACGCAGACGCTCTAGCGTTCCTCGATGGCACCATACCCCCTCAGCCAGGGGACTCCGAGCCACTGTATGAGCCTACCGCGTCCTCTCTTCCCCCTCCGCTCCCCCCTCAGCCCGTTGAGTTGACTGATGCGTTGCGTGCACGTATTGCGGCTAACCGAGCACAGGCTCGAGAGCGACGCCGTCAACGGCTCGCTCAACGCATCGCTCCCTGGACATTCCAGCCTGGATTCGGAACAGGTATTTTGGACATGCCCCAGGTCTAACGTCGCTCGCTGCATGCCGATTGGGATGGGTTTAGGTTGATGATGAGGAGGTGGGAGGTGGTTGATTTTGTCAGTGCACCTCGCTGTCCCATGCCCGATTGCCCCTACTCCACCACCCCGTTGCCAGTACTTGTCGTAGCAGCGCTACCTAGACAGCCTGTGGATGATGCTATGGTTCTTGCAAGCTGACGATGGTTTTGCCAGTTTCCCATTGCTGGAGGTTTCCGTGGGTTACTTCGCCCCCCGTTAACTGAGCTTGCAGTTGCCATTGCACGGCTTGCCTCTTTGGGCCTGTTGCCGACCGTATCGTGTGTGGGCTGCTCGTTCGAGCTTGCAGTTCCCCTTGTGCCTGTGTGTACGTGTTGATCCCTATCTACTTCACCCATGCTCCCAGATGGCCGCTGCCATTGGCAAACGCCTCCAGGCTCCTTAGACCCAGGACCATATGCGCCCTCTGGGAGAGGAGTATGCCCATAGGTCAGTCGGTCAATCGCTCGGTTTTGGCGTGAGATGTGACAGGCTTCGGTCTAGTGTCCTGAGAGCCAGGCAGGCTTGAGTTGCTGGCGAGGCCGCAGCTGTGGCTCGTGCCGCCCTGGAGGAGTGGAGGATGAGGATTAGGGGGCTGCAGCGGACGAGGGGGAGAGCAGAGAGCAGGGCGCGCGCGCGTGCCCCGCCGCCCCGCCGCCGCACGCCCGCCCCGCCGCCCCCGCCGCCCGGCGCGAGCGAGCGGCGCGGCAGTGTAGCAGCGAGCGACTCCTCGCCTCTCCCCTCCGTGAGTGCCTCCTCCTCTCTTGTTTCTTTACGCCGCCTCTCTCTCCGCCGTCAACCTGGACAGAGGTGCGCCCCCCGTGCTTCTGTCACCGACCGAACGTCAAGCTTCAAGCCTTGGCCCGTGGGGGGCAGCGGCAGGGGGCTCGGTGAGCGTAGACCGTCGCTAACCACACACCCGTTGCGTGTGGCACCGAACCCCCGAGTGTCCGTCAGTCCGCGCGGAGGCAGCCAGGTGCTCATGCGGCTGCACGCCGCAGCCCTCGCCTGCCGCCAGCCTTTCTTGCTGTTGCCTTGCAGATAAGGTTTGGAGTCGTCGGGAGGGATGAGAGTGCAGTCCTCTTCAGCTCAGACAGTTGGCAGTGGTGCCACTAGGTCCGTTGGCAGACGAGACCTAGTCGGACGGATCGAATGGGCAGCGCAGCTCGGCATGTTTCCTTACAGGAAAGAGACTGCAGCGAGTCAGATGCAGCCGCCCTCTCTCCCTATCTTGCCCTCCCTCTCCAACGCTGTGGTCAGAGAGAATCGAGCCCTGGCGGACAGGGAAAGTTGGGAACACCGTGGCAGGACCGCCCCTCTGTTGTTCTGTACGCTCTCTCCTGACCACGGTTGAAAGTCAGCCAAGCTGGCGTTTAATGACTAGTGGAGGTTGGTGGGTTGTTCAAGGATTTGGAGGTGGGACTTGCACTCGGCGTTAAGCCCGAACTGTGTGCTGAGATGTACCTTGCCTTCGGTGCGAGATTCGAGTTTTAGTACGGACGCAGGAGCTGTCTGTGCCAAATGCCTCCAGTCGACAGTGGCCGCGCCTTGCCAGTGCCACACTGCTGCCTCGCAACCAGTCGCTGGCGCAGTTAATACTATGGGACTGCGTGGGTTTGTGCATTTCATGGGTGGTGGGATGGAGGTACTGTACTGTACTTGTTCACTTGGTGCCCGTGCAGCATTTTAAGTCTGCTAGCTGCAGCGCCGCTCTTTCTCTGACCGTCACCAGGCGAATCAGATGCGCAATCTAAAAATCTCCTCCTTCTCCTCCTCCTCTTCCCTCCCGGACCTGGCCGCGCGCGTCGGCTCCGTCGGCGAGCTCACCCCTCGGGTGGGGCACGGTGGGCACCGCAGTGCCCTTGCCTCGGCTCCGCCTCTGGGCCTCGCGGGAGCTCCTCGCCCACGGCCGGAGTCGCCTCGGAGTGCCGGTCGGGGCGCCCCCCGGGAAGAGTTCCGGGGAGCAGCGGCGTCGGTGCCGTTTTGCTATCCCCAGGTGTGCAGCGCAAAAGCTCGGGTGGTGGCGGTAAGCGGACCTCCCCTTCACAGGGGCGCAGGTGGAGCGCTCCTTGGGTCGGGCGCGCGCGTGCCGAAGTGGTGGGCAAGTAGGGCTGCATGCGAATCCCGTCGCTGGGGCCGAAGGTGGAGCTCCCCGTGGGGCGCGATCGGGGTGATGGGGTGTGCCGAAAGGGGCGGGTTGGCATGCGGACCGTCGCCGGGGCTGGTGGTGGAGATCTCCCGTGTGAGGCAGGACGTGGTGGGGAAGGATGTGTGGGATGTGGAGGGAGGGGATGGGGAGTGGAGAGAAGGAGGAGGAGGAGGGGATGAGGAGAGGAGGAGGAGAGGAGGAAGGAGGAGGAGGGAGGGAGGTAGGAGGAGGAGGTAGAGGGAGGAGGAGGAGGAGGAGGAGGAGGAGGAGGAGGAGGAGGAGGAGGAGGAGGAGGAGGAGGAGGAAGAGGAGGAGGAGGAGCGCGGCGCTGCGGAGTTCAAAACGAGGGCCCAACAAAGCAGCTTGGCAAAGCGCGTACACGAAGACCGCTGCCGAGCGACAGCACGCTGAGTCCACCGAGAATGCCTGGGGCAACATATTTTGAGGGTTTGGGTTTCCTCCGCAGTGTTTGTTGTTGCAGGGTCCTGCTGTAACCGTTTTTGCTCAAGGCGTCTCAGCGCACAGCGGTCAACATTCAGATTCGCTTAGCACACGGATTACATAGCCCCATCATCCTATCCCTCTATCGTCGCCATGCCCTTGCCAGAACTGCTATCGGGTGTGTGCGAGCTGATCGGCAAACACGACTACCATGCCTTCGGCATCGCCTTCGTCATGGCCTACGTCATGATCGTGCCCATGGGCGTGTCGCACCTGCTCTGCCTGCTGTTCGGCGCGGTGAGCTACGTGCTGCTACTCCCGCAGGACCACGAGCGGGCCGCCAAGAAGTCGGAGCCATGCGAGAAGGTCGGGGGTTCGCAGAGGGAGGGCCATCCCAAGGTGGGGCTGGGGCACGGGCCCAGCTGGATGCTCCCGTTTCACGCGTTTCCTTCCTCCAGAGACCGTTCGGGGCGACTGTTCTTTCCAACCCCACCTTTGCCCCTACCCCACCTTCTGTGCCCTCCCGAGAAGGGGGCGCTGGCAGAGGCGCCCGCGGCCAGGGACACCGCGACGCCCCAGCAGGATCGCGGCCGCGCCACCAGCCATGCCTGCCAGGCGCCGCCGGCCCAGTGCACGCCGCAGGCAGAGGTGAGCGGCGGAAAACACGCGGGGGGCGACTGCGATTGTAGTCAGAGGCCGAGATAAGGGGGAACGGAGACTGACGTAGACATGAGAACTCGGAGGTCCGCGCGGACCTCCGAGTTCGTATGTGTATGCCATTCTCCGTTCCCTTCTGAAAGAAAACGAGGCCGATACCCGCCTCTCGTCGCCATGGTCGGATTTGTCTCGGAATCCTGATCAGAACGCACCCCAGGAGAAGGCCAGGGAGTGCAGCAGGTTCATGCGTCGTCAGCGCGCCGGCGACGCCGTCGAATGCGTTCAAGGTTGAATCCTGCGATGCGGAAGCACCGAGGGACGCGGTGATGCCACTGGACCCGACAGAGTTCAACCTTGAGCGATCGGGGCAACGATCGATTCAGGGTTGAGCGATCGGCGCGGTGTCAACAACCTCTGCGCGCGCCGACGCCGCGCGAACCTACCGTAGCGGTATGGGTACATTCTGGCTCCCCCATGCGCCTGCACTCGCGCGCAAGCTGCCCGCGCGAGGTCGCGCGCGAGCGCCCGCCTCCCCCGCGCGTGTCGCCGCGCTGGCGCCCGTGGCCGCCGCGTCCTCGTGCGCGAGGCCTGCCTGCCTCTCCGTCCCTGGGCATCGCTCGGACGTGTGCATTGTTCCTTCGGCGAGGACCATCGAGGAGCATCCTTGATCACTTGGCGCAAAAACCACGCACGAAGCCGAAAAAAGCGCAGGGAATGGACGTCCGAGCGATGGCGAGGTCCCTCAGGCGCCTGCGCCGCCGAAGGGTGCCGCCGTGCCGCCGAAGTGGCGGGCGGCCGCGGCGGCCGCGGGTGCGGACCGCGCCTCGGCGGACGACAACTGGCGCTCCCGCCGCACCTCGACTCCGCCGTGGGAGTCGCGCCGCCCGTGCGCGCCCAAGGCCGGAAGCTGGAGCATATACATTACCAGTGGCGGGCTGCTTTTCGATCCTAGGACTTCTTGAGGGTCCTCTCGGTAGTCGTGGGTCCCTCTTTGGGCGCTGTATGGCGTTCTTGAGGGTCTGGGGGGGCCGTCGTGGGGGCCTCTTTGGCCGTCCTGGGCCCTCTTGGGCCGCCTCTGTGCTCTCTTCGGGGCCTTCTGGGCCGTCGTGGGGCGATCTTGGGGACCTATGTGGCCGTCTTGGAGCGTGGCGAGAGCTCGAAAACCATTGAGAAGCCGAAGGAACAATGATACTAGCCTCCTGGAGAATCTCCTGGAGCTCCCTGGGGCGCCATGGGGGCCCCTTGGGCAGTCAGGAGATTCTCCGGGGCCATTTTTGGGGGTCACCTTGGCCGTCTCGAGAACGCGTTTTGGGGCAGTCTTGGAGGCCGTACTCGGCCGTCTTGGAGGTCATCGTGGTCCATCTTGCCCTTTCTTGGAGGCGATTTGGGCAGTGACATGTCGGGTGGGCAGGGCTGGCCGAGATCTCACGGTTCACCCGTAAAGCAGATTTGCAACATTGAAAGGTCTCCTTGATACAGAAGCAAGGGCAGTAAAGTTCATCCGTAAAGCAGTAAGGCACGCCAAGCATCTCTTGGAAACATCAGCAAGGGGTCGGCGGATCCAGTGGTCTACGGTCCCCCCCGCAGCCGTGCTTGGGTTGTAGGTCAAGGGCGTCTTGGATGCCTGATTGGGATCTCATGGGAGGCCTCTCGGAAGCCTCTTGGCTTCCCTTTTGGGGTGTCTTGGGCCTCTCAGAGCGTCGTGGGGGGCTTCTTGGGGCCTGTTTTGGGCTTCGTGGGGGCCTCCAAGGGCCTCGTGGGGGGCCTCTTGGGGGGCCTGCTGGCGGTCTCGGGGATCATCATGGGGCGGAGGGTCCGAAATGTCAACTGGAGTTCTCCCTCTCTGGCCCCTCTGTGCACCAAAATCCTGGCCCGCGCCCCCCTGGGACGGGGCTGTCCGCGCCACCCGTCGGCCTGGCCAGGAAGTCCTGCGCACTGATCCTGGAGACGTTTTTTTTTAGGGTCGGGCGATAACCCGGGTTATCGGGCTTGCCCCCCCTCCCCCCCCTCCCCCAGGATAACCTAACTTTGCCGGTTGTGCAGGTCCGCGGGAGGGGGGGGCGCGGGCATGTGCAGGGCTGCCCACAGCGCGAGGGTTAGGTTGTCGGTTGGCCCCCTCCTCCCTCCCCTGGGATAACCCGGGTTATCGTTAAGTCGGGCTTGTCCCTCTACAGGAGGGATGTTCAAACATAGTCTAAAAATAGTCGGGGGACTTTTTGTTGGATTATTTTTTGACCATTTTAGGGTATTTTTGACTATTCTTCATTTTTCCTCCAAAATCCCCCTGTAGGGGGACGACAGGCCCGCCTTAAGGTGTTCGCCGATTAGAAAAGAAACGGTCGCATGGGCCTAGGATCGGCTTGGCTTTGGACGGGACTGAGACGCCCCAGCTCCCTCCTCCGGCCCCCCAGACCCCCTTGAGCTGCGGAGGACGGTCACTGGAGAGGAAGCATGCCGCCAAATAATTTCCAGACGTCTCAAATATGTTTCAACTGTGTTCTGAATAACCTCATCAAGCAGTCAAGACCCCCCCCTCTCTCCGGCGAAAGTACAACGCACCCGGCACCCCAGAAGCGTTACCCTGGTACCTTCGCGCCTTTATGTGAATGCAGACGAGCCTGCTCGCCGAAACAAGCCAACCTTATTATTCTTCCTCTTCTGCTTAGTATTGTTATTATTATTTGTCTTCTTCTTATTATTCTTATACTTCCCAGCTGAACAGAACAAATTTTCCTCCTGCTCCTCCTCCTCAAGACTCCCTTACGGCACGGCACCAACACGAACAACGACAATAATACCAGCAATAAGAACTATATCTAGAACAACAAGGCCAATAACAGCAACACCAACAACAACATCAACATCAAAAACACCAACAACACCGCCAGCATCAACAATAACAACATTAGGTCCCACGCAAAGGAGATCCCAGCTTTGAAAAGGAACCGTCCGTGCCTACGATGGGGGGCGATTCATTTTGGCGGTGCGGGTGCTAAGATAACGCGCCGTGCGTGGCGAGGGCGATATCCTCGGATGCACTACCCCACACGACGGCTGGGAAAAAACCATGTTTCAATAGGTGTGGTAATAATAATCGTCTAGGGCAAGGATGATGAGAATGAGAAACAGGAGGGAGGAAGGAAAGAAGCAGGGGAGCCCGTCTGTTTTCGGATCTTTATTCTTATCATTATCCTTACTCTCATTCGTCTTCTGATTCTTATTCTTATTCTCATTCTCATTTGTACTCTTATTATTATTTGACTGATTGTACTTCTTGTCTTTTTGGACAAGCTGTCGTAATTATTTTGTGCGGGTGCGGTGCTAAGATAACGCGCCGTGCGTGGCGGGGACGATATCCTCGGATGCAATACCCCACACGACGGCCGGGAACAACAATTTTTCAACAGGGGTGGTAATACAAATCGTACAGGACAAGGATGATGAAGATAATGGGAATAGCGCTTATTATCTCGTATTATTATTGTTATCATTCTTATTATTATTCTTAGTCTGATTCTTACGAACATTATTATTATTGTTATGCTGCTTGTTATCGTTATCATAGTTCGAGTTATGTTTATTATTTTCATTATTATTTTCATTATTGTTATTATTCTTATTATTCGCATTATTGTTTTTACTCTTATCATTACTCTTTTCATTCTTATTATTATTCGCAGTCTTACCCTTATTCTTGTTCTTTTCACTCGTATTTCACTCTTATTCTTATTCCAATTCCAATTGTGATGCCACCTGAGCTGGGGCGCGTAAATTATTTATATTCGTTCCATTTGCGCGGTTTTAATCATATATTTCGGCGAAAACCGCCCCCATAATTATTTAATTACGGTGCGATGCTAATGATAACCCCGGGGGTTCCTTAATGGCTTGATGAGGTTATGTAAAAAACATGTTTGAAACATTTTTTGAACATGTTGTGCAACTTTTAACACACATCTTTAGTTCAATGATAGGGCTGTTAGGGTGTCCACTGTCATGGCATCCACAACCCCTGAGCCACGAAGGAATCACTCGGCCACGCGCACAAGGGGGTAGGGGGGGGGGAAGCTTCCTAGAAGCACCCCTGCTTCTACGAAGCCTTCCCCCCTCCCCCTACCCCCTTGTGTGCGCGCCGCCAACTCACGACGGACGGTTTTTTTCGCAATTTTTTCTGCCTCCGGGGGCCCTTGCCGTGCCTCGGGGCTGTCCACAGAACGACTCCGGATGAAAAGCCAGTCCCGGGGAATGGGCCGACCTTCTCGGGGTCGACGTTATGCTCGGGGACGGAAAAGAGGGGGGTGATGACTAGGGGGGGTGGATATCATGGCGGGGGCCATGATATTTTCCCAGATTGCATGGCGCCTCTTCTTATTTCATTACGTCCCTGGCCCCCCCGCTGGGCCGCGCACATGCCGCTGGTCATGATTTGCACCCCCCCCTCTTGGACACCCCCCTCTTGGCCGCTCCCGATTATGAACAAATCATGATGTCGGGGGTCTTCGGGCGGGGCCAGGACGAGGACGAATCCGTTCCAGAGCGTTCCGGAACGCTCTCGGAGCGTTCGGGAACGCTCTGAGAAGGCCGCGGCGCCCAAACATCCTCCAGAGCCGCCCGATCTCAGAGATTCTCGATTTATCGACTAGGCGTACGCCAGCGTGATCTTTTGTCGGAGTGACCTTTGGTGCGGGCCCGTTGGGGTCCCCCGATCGCGGAGCGCGAAGCGGTAGCAGCGGCTTGCGCGCCCAGGTTTGGCCAACCCGCGTCCCCCGTTTAAGCCGCTCACCAGAGGTCATGCTTGCCTTGGTTTGCTCTTGCGCGTGGCCGAGTTTATCCTCGCTCGATTCTATCCTCGTCCTGGTTTCGTCTCGTGGAGAGGGTCGGTGTCCGCGGCCTGTGCTGCTGGCGCCCTCCGACGAGGCCCCCGTGGAGAAGGTCGCCCTCTCGTCCGGCCTGTCGGCGGCGCGCCGGGTGCTGGCCAAGGAGGCGGCGTGATGCGCTTCCCGAGCGCTCTGGCCCAGACCTCCTGTGAGAGTCGAAGAAAAAGACGGCATAAGCAGAAAGTTTTTACTACGCTCCGCGCGGATCCCTTGGGTCCGCGCTGGGCCCCCCCCCCAGCGGCGCCTCCGGCGCCGCCCCTGGCGCGCTCCGTGCGGCAGGGGGGAGGGGTCCAGCGCAGATCCAAGAATCCCGCGCGGAGCGCAAAACGTTTATGTTTGTGCCGTTTTTCTTTGCCTATCCTGAGCGGTCAGGCCCAGCCCTTCCTCGAGAGGCCCTCACGCGCTGTCGTCCTCCAGCTCCTGCCCCTCTTCCGTTGCGGCGTGAAGCGATGGCGTTCAGCCCAAGGCGCTGCTTGCGCGCCTACTTTAAAACCGGGCGCGCCACCCTGAGTGTGTACTTCCATATCTCTGCGCATGAGGCGTAAGTTCCGAGGCGGGGATTTATATATTACTACCGCCTGGAGGATCAGTTGTTCGGGGACCTCGGCAGGCGGTGGATATGGATATATTCGGGCCCTGGGGGGCCCAAATATATCCATATCCACCGCCCGCTGGGGCACCAGGACGCCGGTTCCCAGGCGGTGGATATGGATACATCCCCGCCTCGCATAAGTACGTACACCACCACCCCTGGCCAGGTCCATCCTCTGCCCAAGGGTGGTATATAATTCCTCCTGGCCTCGGCTAGGAAGGCGTAGACACCATGTCAGGGCGCAGGATCGCTCTGGCCAGGCATGGCTGTTGGCGTAAATAGCATGCCTTCTTCGTACATGTCGGTCTGCTCATGAAGCAGGCATCCATATTGCCCCTCTGCTGGGCGCGCCTGTGTGCACGGCCTAGATGCACGTCGCCTGGCAACAGGACGGTGGCCGTTCACTCATCGCATTTCTCCCTCTTCCCTTCTTCTGCATTCCCTCCTCACTTCTGCCTTTCCTTCCTCCCTCCCCCCCTCCTCCCCCTCCCTCCTCCCTAGCCTCCCCCCTCCTCCCCACCCCCCCCTCCCTCCCCATCCCTCCTCCCCCCTTGCCCTCCTCCCTGGCTCCCATCCCTTCCGCCCCCCCTCCCCACCCTGTGCTCCTTCCTGCTCCATCCTTCCTGCTCCATTCCCTCCTCCTCTTCCTCCCAGTCTTCCCCTCTGCCCCTCTCCCCGATAGGCACCCCTCTCAGGCAAGGATCTTGACGCGGCTCTGGCCGCGGCGCCGAGTGGCCCGCCGGGAGGCTCGAAGAGGGCAAGAGCACGCCCGACCTCCCCCCTCCGGCCCCCCAGACCCCCCTCGAGCCCTGAACGCATGAAGGCCGGCGGTCTTCGCTGCTTCCTGCCTCTGGGGACCCTCGCGGGGCCTCGGGGCCGTCACCAGTTCGACCCAGGACGAAACGCCGACCCTGGGGAATGTCGGACGGGGCCAGGACGAGGACAGACCCGCTCCAGGGCGCCCCAGCACGCGCTCGGAGCGTTCCGCAGCGCTCCGAGAGGGGGGGCCCAGGGCATCCTCCTCCGGAGCCGCCGGACCCCAGGGATCTTTGAGCTGTCCTCGCCCGATGCCGTCCTCTCACCAGCCTCGAACGTATCCCCATCCCTAGGATGGACACGCCCAAAGGCGACGACAAGTCGTAGGGACTCGCCCTCAAAAAATATGGGAATCCCTAAGATTGGCAGCCGACGTGCAGCCGCCCCCGCAAAGCGGTGAGCCTTGGCTGGCATGGTCCTCTTTTGCCCACGCGCTCCGGCGTATGGTATTTCGTTCGTCGTTCGTTCTAAGATTGGCATCGTTATGAGGAGGTGCCCAGCACAGGGATAGGGATATGTTCCAGGCTGGCAATCCTCGCCACGGCCTCGCCCCAGAGAGGGGACCGAGGCCTCCGCCGCCCCGGGCGGCCCCCCCCCCGCGACGGCGAGGCGCCCGCTCGGCCCTCTGCCCCGTCCCAGGGGGCCTGGCGTCCGGCCCCCCGGGGGCGCGGCCCCGCTCGGGCGCCGAGCAGCGCGAGGGCACGCGCGCCTCGGCCGGACACCCTCCTCCCTGTCCCCGCTCCCTCTCCCCCCTCCTGCCTCCTCCTCCTGCCTTCTCCTGCCTCCTCCTCCTCCGCCTCTCTCCTCCTGCCTCCTCCTTCCACACTCCTCCTCCTCCTCCTCCTCCACCTCCTCCTCCTCCTCCTGCCTCCTCCTCCGCCCCGCCTACCTCCGCACGCCTCCCGCCTCCGCCTCCGCCTCCGCCTCCTCCGCCTCCTCCTCCCTCCTTGACCCCTCCTCCTCCCTCCTACCTCCTGGGCACTGTGCCTCTCGTCCTCCTGCTCCTTCTCCTGCCTCCTTCACTGCTCCTATCCTGCTATCCTCCTGCTCCCCCTCCCGCCCCCTCCCTTCCCCTCCCCCCCCTCCGCCTCCCCGTGCCAACCCCGCCGCGCAGCCCCTCCCCCGCCCTCCCCACGTGCCTCCCACGGCGCGGCGCCATCCTCTCTCGACCGCGTTGCGTGCGGCTTGCCCCCCTCGCACCCCTCTGCGGTCGGGAAGCCCAGAGCCCAGGCGCCCTCCGTGGAGCTCGCGCCCCCCGCCCAGCCCCCTCGCCCCCCCCCTCTCCCGCCGGCGTCCGTGCCGCTCCGGGGCGCGCCCGTCAGCCTCGGGCCTCTCGGTCTCTCTTGGGGGGGCCCCCGTCCCCCCCCTCGCACCCCCCCTGCGCCAGCTCTCGATGCCCCCCTCCCCTCGCCTATCGACCCTCGCAGACCTCCGCCCCCCCCCCCCCCCCTCTTCGAGCGCTAGTACGACGCGCCCTCGGCAGCTGCCAGCCAGGGCGTCCGAACGGGGCCGCCTCTCATCTCGCACAGAGCCTCGCAGCAAGACAGCAGTTCCCTTCGCTCGTGGGCGACGGGCTAAGGGCATGCACCCATGCCTCCTCGGGTCGGGTCTCAAGAGACGGGGGTCAATGCAAACGGGGGTCAGTCGTCGGAGCGCCAGGATCTAGCAGGATCCTGCAGAGTCAGGGGTGTACTGACCTGGGCTCGCGTTGCAGGATTTTGCAGGATCCTGCAAGGCCCGACTGACCCCAGTTTGCATTAACCCCGGTTAGTAGATCCCCGATCCTCCTCCCTCTTCCTTGGATATCCCTCGTCACGAGCAACGTCTCGGGGCCAGCCACTAGGGAGGTGATGACTAGGTGTTGGGGGGGTATCATGGCCGAGGCAACGATATCTCCCAGATTTCAGGGCCCCCTTTTCTGCTTTCAGCACGTCGCTTGGTCACCCCTCGTCCGCGCACATGCCTCGCTTTGCGAACGCCCCTCTCTGACGCCCCCCCTCTTGCACGCCCCCGACCATCGAGACAGCGGTGATCTGCTAACTATTTGGGCCCCGACTCGGGCCCCGAGGCTTTCCGAAAACGACGTCCTGGAGGGAAGGACAGCTATTTGGGAAGGGGGGGGGGGCGAGAAGCTCGGAAGCCGACGCGA